TTTTTTTATCCTAAGGTTCAAATATCCCTTGAGGTGAAGGGAACTTGGGAATCGAACTTTATATTGGTCCCTATGCCTCCCAGAGGCTTCCGGGTCAAACCAGCAACTTTATAGGAAAACAGTGTGGGTAACAGGTGCTTATTTCCATGACCCTTCCAAGTATGAATGATGGGGGTTTACAGTTCCATTCATCACACAGTTCTTGTCAACTGCACATGCGTGTATTTTCACTAAAAATTGCTTTGCTGGGTGCAATGGTGGCTGCCTGTAGGCCCTGCTACGTGGGAGGCTGAAACTGGAGGATCACTTGGGCCCAGGAGTTTGAGACCAGCCTAGACACCATAGCAAGAACCCAATTCTAAAAGGAAGAAACACGTATGGGATCGGGAGTCCCCCTAATTTCAGTTCCTAGTTCTGTCACAAACTAACTGCATGAGCCTGACCACATCTCTTCACCTCTCCACATATGTTCTTCATCTGAACATGGGGATAAACACCCTGAGAGCAGTAAGGTGCTCACAACAGTGCCAAGAGTACAGGAAAGGCTCAGGAGGGTTCAGGGGTGAGCATCATATGACCTAGCCCAAACTGCCAATAGAATATAAAAAGCCCAAATCAGAGAATGTCTCTGTTTTTAGCCAGGGTAGTGGTGAGTGGCTGTGTTCCCAACTACTCTGGAGGGAGGCTACGATGGGGACATGACTTGAGCACGGGAGTTTGAGTCCAGGCTGGGCAACATAGCTAGACATTGTCTCTAAGAAAAAAAGAAAAAATTAATTAACCAATTTTTTAAAATCATGCTTTAGAACTCTTCCCAGTTACTTTTTTTGTGGAAAAAAATCTCCAGTTGAAGAATACTAATCTGTAATTAGTATTTTGTATGAGTTTTTATCAAACACAGTACAGAATAACTCTCTGTCAAGGAGCCACACACACTGTCATTCCTGTGTTGATATCCAGCTGTAACAGCAAATAATTTTGGGTTCTTAGAAGATCACCATTGCTAATTTCTGGGAATCATAAAGTCAATGTATTCCTAGCTGACCTTTAATATTGAATTTTAGATTTAAAACATCATTTCAACCATCCTAAGTGAAATGTTTTGATTTGAAAAGCCATAATATTATAATATAAGTATAATTCCCAGATTTATATTAAAGCAGGAAATACATGAAAATTGTTTGGGTCACCAATACAATAATATCAAGTGAATTAAAAATCCTCTTAGCTGCATAAAAGAATTCTTTCCCTAACCAGCTGGCCTAGATTTAATTTTTCAAAATCTTTTATGAATGCTAAAGAACAGAACATTCAGGAGATTTTTTTTTCCCCTAAAGACATCTCTTAAAAGACACCTCAGACCAACTAGATAAGTAAACCAAGTAAAGGTTTAATTCTGGAATGCAAGGATGGTACATAATACATAAAATAATTTATGGTATTTACTGCCATATTAGAGACACAGAAGAAAAGGGGTGTGATCATATATACTGTATCAACCTCCTAATAAACTAGAAATAAAAGGAAGCTTTAGCTGGTACAGGACGTCTATCAAAACAAAACAGCAAATATATACCTAAGGTGAAAACAAGAGGTCTCTGCAAGTCAAAGATTTCTTAACTATCACTATTGCTCAATATTTTCTATAGTTCTAGCTAGTTTAAAAAGACAAGATGAAGAAATGAAAGGAACAAATATATATATATAGGAAAACAAATGAGAAAATTATCATTTGCAAATGAAATCTTTTTACACATAGGAGAATCAGCTAAAAGTCTTAAAGTCCAATAAGATCATCTAATAAGATTTGGGATATCAGATAAATATAAAATCAATAGTTTTCTAATATGCCACCCTAAAATAATTAATAATAGGAAAATGCTGTTAATAATGACTGCAAACATTACGCAAATCTAAAAATAAAGTTAACAAATAACGTATTAGACTTATAAAATGTTATATTTTACTGTAAAAATTTACTGGAGACATAAAAGATCAGAGCAAATGGGGAGGCTCACCCCATTCCTGATGAAACAACTAACTCATTGTTATAACTGGGTGGTTCTCCCAGTTGCATCCACTGTGATCCCTGTAAAATCCCAGGGATCTCTTTCTAGAATTATCAGAGTAGGTTCTAAAGTTTGGCCAATGATTTATGTAAAAAATAAGCAATAAATAAGATAAAAAAGCATGACAGCACATGTCCCATATTTCTGAAACATAGGTAATTAATAGTAGCTGGGAAATTTTCCTATAAAGTAATGATTTTAAAACATTGGAAATGACTGTCTGCCCTTTTCTATTTTATAAAATGACTTTAGCAAGTATTGAAAGAGAGGGCCAAGTTGAAAGAAAACCTTTAAACCTTTTTAAACTTTCTAGAGTTAAAAACAACACACACACACACAAAAACATATAAATCGGTCTACAAACAAAATTCAAGGGATGTCTAGTGGTACTTACCATTGTACGTAGGATGCCTAATTACCTCTTGGCAGCTGAAGGATTTGTTTTAAATACTTTACTTGTAACCGGTTTAGGAAAGAGTCATGAAACAAATACCAAAACTGAAATCTGATAAGAATATTTTTAGAGTATTGTTGTTAGAAACAAGACAAAACTCTCTAAGCTCTAAAGAAGAAAACAAAAGCAAAGCCTTTATCGTTAAGCCTCTTAGGTCCTGTCAGTTACATAACATTACAGTAGTCTTTGAAGATGAGTACAGTAGAACCTCTGCAAGTCGACCACCCAAAGGACGGTGACAAACTGGTCAACATATGGAGGTGGCCAACATAAGGAACTAGGCCTACTGTGCTGTCACGTACACACCGTGCATGGCAGGTCTCTGAAAATTAGGTCAACTTAAGGAGGTGGTCCGTGCAGGGAGGTGGTTCTACTGTATTTAAAAGTCAACAATGTACAGCTGCAAGGACCTAATCTGAATTCCAAGCATCTTTTGTGCAAAAGAGTTAAATTATTCTCTTTAATTTTAATGCCCTCAGTGTATCAGTTGGATGTTTTTGTATTTCTGATGCTCTTTTTTCTTTTCCTTTCTTTTTCCTTTCTTTTCTTTCCTTTCCTTTCTTTTCTTCTCTTTTCTTTCTTTCTTTTAGGCTAGAGTGCTGTGGTGTTAGAGCTCACAGCAACCTCTAACTCCTGGGCTCAGTGATCCTCTTGCCTCAGTCTCCCAAATAGCTGGGACTACAGGACCCCGCCACAGTGCCCGGCTAGTTGTTTTCGGAGACCGGGTCTTATCTCACTCTTGCACAGACTGGTCAGGAACTGCTGTGCAATCCTACCAGCTGCCCACTCCCACCTTTGCCTCCCAGGGTGTTAGAATTACAGGCATGAGCCAAAGCACTCGGGTTCTGATGCCATTTTATATCTGATATCTGTTACACTTTGAGAATGTTTTTTAGAATATTTCACTTTTAAGCTAGATACAATTATATTTTTACCAGTTTTTACTGTATGTCTACAGTGATACTAAAGCAGGGAATTAAACCACAGCAATTTTTATCATGAGTAGCTACTCCCAAATGAAGAATGCAATGGTCTCTTATCTTAGCAGCTACTCGGGATATCAAAGTTAAAAATCTGCTATGGAAAGACATTAGTATGCTCTTTCCAGGGGTCAACACTCACCTCTGACAAAGGCAAGCTGTTGCTGTTGCCCAGGGACAGTCAGTGTTTTTCTCTAAGCAACTGGGCAGTTCGGGCAGATCCTTAACCTTGAAGGGGAACAATCACCTCCCTGAGAACATTAGTCTGGGGTCCATGCAGGTAATAAAATAGAACTTAGCAATTCACATCATTAGGTTGGAGAGTGCTTATAATTTAAGCCCCTTTTATAATTTACGTAATTACATCCATTTCTAATTCATGAAGTATGTTTGGGAATCACCTGAGTGTCTTTATTCTTGGAGTGCCTATTCTGCATCAGTGCTGGTGCCCAGGTTAGCACTGCAGTCTTCAAAACTAAGAAAAAGACGTTGGGGAATCTAAAGCCGGGTGTGTGTGTGAGAGAGAGACAGAGAGAGAGAGAGGTGTTGAATTCAGTTGCTCTCCCCTTGGCAAGGCTTAGGGTGCTGACTTGCACTATTGACACTTACGATGAGAGTGGCCTCTGTCAGCGCTGAGGGTCATAGTGGATCAGACGAGTCAACTAGCCCCACCAAAGACCTGTCTCTGGCATCAGAGTCAGATTAACCCACTCTATCCCAGTTCCTTATTGTGATGAGGAAATTTTGTGTGTGTGTGTGTGTGTGTGTGTGTGTATGGTAGGTATACAGAGGTGTTTTGTTTACATATTTGTTGACATTAAGCTTAAGAGTTACTAATTTGAAAGAGCAGTTTCCTTGGCAGTTTCCCCGTTACCCTCCACCCTGGACTTTGTTTCACCTCTGTCTGCTCTATCCGGATTTGTAACCTCTGGTCTCTGCTTTCTGTGAGTTAAACTGGAAACACAGAGCTCCAAGGAAGTGTGAGGGAAGGAGGTGGGATGAGACCAGACCACACCTTGCCAGACAGAGTTCCATCCCCTGTGGCCAGGAGAGTGGTGTGAGCCTCCCAGCCTTCACTTTGCGTGGTCAGGCTGAAGGAGCCCGGCTTTGGGTCCCGTTCCTCACTGATTCCTTCGGGCCCTGGGGAGATCTCATGAATCCAATCCAGCCCCAGCGATTAGCCCCTGACAGAGCCCAGGGTACTGCTGTTTCTGAACCCACTCCCCCCAAAGAGTGGGTCAGTTCTCTCCCCAGAGACACAATGTTCCATCCCACTGCCTTCCCTGAGTTTTGCCTCAAATGTGGACAGTGTGAGGCTGTTAGCCTGACACACAGCAGTGGCCAAAATTCTCACAAGAGAGGGAGGCCATCGGCCCTCTCTGTTCACTGCAGACCCAAAGCAGGCAGGATGTCTACCACTGCCTGGAGCTGCCACCTCTCCATTCCCCCTTTCTCCTCCAGAACCTGTGTGTGGCTACTAAATAACTTATAAATAAATCATCGTCATGTTTCCTTTTGAGAAAAAGCTAATAATAGAATTATATGAATAGACTATTGGAAAATCTGAATATAATCTTAGATCTTATATCTAAAATTAGAGGTGCTGGCCCCATTTTATGTGGTGATGTCGATGCCTTCTCTTAGAATAACGGGGTCTATCTTTAAGGGATACGCATAAGGACACACTGGCAGTCATGCAGAGGGGAATGGCCAGGACCATGTGGGAGTCTGAAAACATTCCATATGGAAAATGGCCAAAGAGCTAAAGTATTGAAAAGAAAACCTTAGGGGATATAAGAAAGTTGGTTTTCAACATTTGAAGATTTATCTTGTAGGAGAGATATTAAAATCAATCTATCTTTACCACCAGAGCTAGGACGTAAAAGAAATTAAATATTTCTGCTTAACAGAGAAAGGCATTTCTTTGTTAATCCAAAGAAGAGCTGGGCTACATAGGGAGGCGGTTATGTCTCATCTTTAAGACAGTGTCCTGTGCAGAGCAGATCAAGTCAAATGTGGGCATTCTTCACGCCCCTCTGTGTTCCTTCCTCACCCTTCCCCTCCCTCTCCTACACTCCATCTGTGCGTCCTCATCTTCCCCCTCGGGGACCACAGGCACATCCTCACCAGTTTCCTGGTGTCCATCTGCCCTTCCAATTTGTTCTCCATCCTACCTACCAAAAAAGTATAGGCTTTAAAAACTCAAATCTAGCCAGTCACAGTGGCTCACGCCTGTAATCCCAGCACTCTGGGAGGCCGAGGCATGTGAATCACTGAGCTCAGGAGTTTGAGACCAGCCTGAGCTGGAGCAAGAACCCGTCTCTACTAAAAATAGAAAAACTAGCCAGATTTGTGGTGAGCATCGCAGCTACTTGGGAGGCTGAGGCAGGAGGATCACATGAGCCCAGGAGTCTGAGGTTGCTGTAAGCTAGGTTGATATCATGGCAGTCTACCAAGGGCAACCAAGTAGACTATCTCAATTAAAAAAAAAATTCAAATCTAAAATTTCCACCACATCCAGCAGCCAATTCTTTTCACGTCTTCCCATTTCTTGGGAAAAATAGAACCTAACAGTGCAAATCTGCCCCGGCCCATCCCCTCTGACCCTCATCATGCCCCACTTGGCTCTCACTGCTCTGATCACTCGGAACTTCTTTCTGTCCCTAGAAATATATTGTCTTCCCTTACCAGGGGAAGAAAATTCTTTCTACCTGGAATCTCTCCTTGCTGCCTCAGTCACCTGGCCAAGTCACTGATCCTTGTAGTTAGAAGCTCCACTCCCTGCCTGTCAAGCCAGGGTTGTTAACATTCCTGTTACACACTCCCATACTGGCATGGTGATCTGCATGTCGGTGCCACTCTCCTGTTGTAACGTTCTTTTTAGTGATTATTTGATTAATTGCTACCTCTCATATGATTAGCGATGTAAAGGCCAATGCTGATGCCTAGTGGGTAGCCACACGTATTTACTGAATACGTGAAATTAGCAAGGCTCTTGTGGGTTTCATAAGAATCTAGATGATTTCTTAGAGGGAATAGCAAAAAACCACACAGGTGGCAAAAACAGATAGTAAGGTTCCTAGCAATCTGAAGAGTCTGTAAGCTTTATTTGATTCGGGTTTTCTTCATTGCCATTATTCTTTTGTATTATTCAGGGTCTACGAAACTACCTATTAATGATGCTTGCATTTTGCATCATCTTGACTGGAGCACTGTGCACTGCTTTTTCTAAACTCTAACCATCACTGGACCAGCAGGTGGCAGCAGTGATTCAGGGACTACCTCTATGGGACACCAGCGAAAGCAAGCTGAGAACAGAGTTCATTTTCCTAACAGCAAATGGGTCTCAACCGCTCTTGCAATGGGCAAATGATTTTTTTTCTCCCACAAATGTGAGAAGAAAAACTGAGTTTCGGTCAAGATAAATATGAAAAATTCTGAATGTTCATGAAGGTAGGATTTCTCTAAGTGACCAAAAGTTCTCCATTGCATTAATAATAATACCAGTACATCTGAGGGTGCTCTTTTTTTACCATAATGTGTGCCTCACATTTTATAATCTAGAAAAACAGTGTGGAGTTTTTATACAAAGAATTTACGGTGCAAATTTCTAATTTATTATCCTCAATAATGAAGTGAAGCAGAAACACTTTGTAAGGGGGAGGGGGAAGAAAAGTTACTCTATAATGGAATTAAACTCCAAAGATGTCTGGACCGTTTGCTAGATCAAGTAAATGTCACAACTGGTAACTAAAAGTTAAAAAACCCATTTCATTATTTTTAGCCAAAACTTATTTCTGCTTTAAATTAATATTGTGTCATCATATACCCATTTTAGCTCAAAATGCATTTGATTATCTCTGGGTAAAATCTATCCCCAGGGAATAAAAATATACACATTAAGAATATGTGCATAGGGCGGCGCCTGTGGTTCAGTGAATAGGGCCCTGGCCCCATATACTGAGGGTGGCAGGTTCAAACCCAGCCCTGGCCAAACTGCAGCAACAACAAAAAAAATAGCTGGGCGTTGTGGCAGGCACCTGTAGTCCCAGCTACTTGGGAGGTTGAGGCAAGAGAATTGCCTAAGCCCAGGAGTTGGAAGTTGCTGTGAGCTGTGACACCATGGCACTCCACTGAGGGTGATAAAGTGAAACTCTGTCTCTACACACACACACACACACACACACACACAGAATATGTGCATAATATAATGCATTTACAAATATGCACACGCACAAATACACACACAGATATAAATATATGTATGTTATGTTCCAAATTTGGAAACTTAATTTAAAGTGACCAACGCTCTCTCGAAAGTCCTTTTTTTCTGAAATATATTTTTCTAAAATGCTTTCAACAAGAGCTTTTCCTGTTTTCTTTCTGGTTTCCCTGGTGTTTAAAGTAGGCAAAAGACATGCTAGTAACGTCTTTAAGAAAACTCACTGGACCTACTAGTATAATAGTGTTTATGAGGATGGTTTCGAATCCCTTTAAATAACAGAACCCCTTTTCAAATGTAAATTTCCCTCTTCCCACCTAACAGTAGTCTGTGTTACTTCCTGTGCAGGAGAAACCAAACACCATTCTCCCTAATTGCATGGACTCTGAAGCCAGCCTGCTGTGGGTTTAAATCCCATCTGGGCTTCATCTTAGTTATGTGACTCTGGCCAAGTTCCTAAGCCCCTTGTATCAGATTCCTCATCTGTAAAGTGGAGTAAATGATAGCACCAATCTCCTATGGTTATCGTGTGGGTGAATTAAAATCTGTATGCTCCTGACTGTCTGGTACTTGGCAAACACTATGTTAATTATTATGTGTTTTCGAAGAAAACAAAAGTGTCTGTGGATTGGAAAATGCCGTGAAGAGCTACACCTTCTCATGGAAACAATTACTTAATACTCTTCCATAAGAATGCTATTTTAAATTATACTGGAGTTTCTGTGTAATTGTTGGATTGCTAATACAAATAAATATTTGATTGTAAAATGAGTCATTAGGTTATGCTGATAAACTTTGAATAAATTGCCATGATATGAAAGCCATTTGTCTCCTTTTAATTGTATTTTAGACTGAATATATTTTATATTGGAGAGCTTTTAATTATTCTTCAGCTGAGAGTGCCAGTTTATATGAAAATTTTAAAGGTGAAGTTAAGCAGTTAGGGAAGAGAAACAAACAAAAATCTATTACCACTACATAGTTTCTGCTACCAGACAAGGCAATCTATTTCAGAATGGTTGGCAAACAAGCAAATTATTACTTAGAGGTTAGTCTAACTGGGCGATTGCCACATACCCATTTTGTTTGCTAATCTTAGGAAGCGAATAACTAATTCCCTTGAAGTTTTGAGGTTTTTTTTCTTCTCTAATATGGCCAAATTCTTATGTTTATTTAATTTTTGTATAGGTGTGGCTTTCTGTCTTACCTTATCTGAAATGACTCTACTAAAGAGATTCTGCCACCTTGTGTACAGAGATAGCACTACATTAGGTGTACATAACAGCCCAATAAGGCTGCCATCCAGATTATGGGCATTTTCTGTTATAGGAACATAAAATCCTAAGACGTCTTGAAGGGGTAATAGCACAGCCTTTCCCCCAGCTACCAAATCTCCTTGTAGTCCTGTTGTACTGATTTATTTGCACTTTTACTGACTATCTGACCTCTACCTATCAATACGTACAGAGCTGAAAAGCACATGGAAGGAGAATGACAAATTATAGAACTGCGTGTATAGCATGATCCCATTTAGGTAAATTTTTACTAACCAAAACAATATATATATTTCTATCAACACATATTTATGTAAAAAGTTATAAAAATACATCCAACTCATAATAAGGATTGTTTCTTGTGAAGGTGAATGAGATCAGAAGAATGGCAATATTGGGTTCACTGTGAACTTTAGCATTATCTGTAATGTTCAGTTTTTCATGGATATATATGGGTGTTCTTCCATATATGTTAAATAATCAACAGAATGAAATCTCCAAAGCATATATTTAAATGTTAAAGTGATTAATTTGGATAAAGAGAACGGGTTTTTTCCCTCTTTTTCCGTTTTAAATTTTCAAAACCTAACATGCACACATACATAAACATACACACAGAGATGAAGATCAAGACAAAGTTGGGAAATTTTCCAGCTGAAGAGCCCTTCTCCTTAAAGGTAGATGCCACAAACCCACTTTCCTAGCCTCACTGGCAGCTGGGATGTAAGTAATACATATTTACGTATTAAAATGCAAAGTGAATTTCCATTTTTTGCAAGTGTATTTGATGATCTTTAATCATAATTTTGCTCTAGACTTTTTGTAATTGTGACATACTCTCATATGTCAAAGATTTGAGAGACTTTTAAGAGAACTGAAGTTATTTTAAAATTAAAGAGTATTACCTTTCACTCCTTGAAAAAGAGAAAGAAAATAAAAGATTAAGTATTTACCAAATTTTATGAACATTTTATAATTAATCTGTTTAAATGGAATTCTTTTTTTGGTGAAAAATATTAGCACCTGGATGTCATAACATCACATTATCTCTCTCTCTCTCT